GTAGTGTTACACTTTGTGCTGCTACTAATTGTCCCTGGGGAATGCCTGTGCTGTGCACCCTCTGGCTTGTCACAGGTTACCCCAGGTGAAGTAGGGGAGGCTGGGGCCAGCACAGTTGCTGGCCCCAGCAGCCTTACCTGGGGTCCAGAGGGCTGGGGAAGCTGCAGCCGAATCACTTCCACAGCTTGGAGCCTGTCCGGCAGCTGGAGTATGGCTGGCCAGGCAGGCTATGGTTTTGGGCTGAGTGCACTGACCTGCTTTTTTTCTGTGTGGGTTTTAAAAAAACAACAACTGCACTGCAAGGTATCAGTGCAAGAAACACCTGACTGTATGGGATGTAGTGCTGCAAATGGGTCTGCAGCACCATATATCACATGGCCACACGTGTCTGGACACAGCCATGGGCTGCAGTGACGCATGCAGGCACATGTGGTTTGTTGCACCACAAGCTGCATGTGTTGCATGTCAAACCTTGTGCAGTGCTGTTAATTTGCAGCGCAGGGCCAAAATTTGCCACATGGATTTTTGCTATGCCAAAATAGCATGTGTGGCACATGCCATAGGCTGCCTGCTCCCCCATCTCCACACTCTATGGAGCCCCTGAGTTGAAGCACGCTGAGCCCGAGCCAGCTTTGTGCCTCAAGACAGGGGAGCCAGCAGCCCTGAGCTGGCTGCTCTCCTGTCACTCTCCTGTCACTGCGTGGGAGCTCTACAGCTCATGGAGATGGAGAGGAAGACAGCCCTGGGCTGACTGCTTCCCCATCTCTACATGGGCTGGGGAGCAGGGTGCCTCAGCACAGGGGCTGCCTGCTGGCTTGCCCTGCACTGAGGCACCCTGTGCTCTAGCCCTGCTCCCCCCCTGTCAGCACATGGAGCCCACAACACATGGGACAATGTGTCCCGTAACAAAGCACAAATGCAGGGCATACTTGAGGAAGAGTTGGATTGAGCTGGGTGCTGCCTCTAGCCTGCTAGCTGCCTGCCCGCTGGAGGAAGAACCAAAGGTCGGGGCCCTAGGCATGTGCCTAGTTTGCCTATGCATTAATCCAGTCCTGCAGCAGCCTATACATATTTTGTGCTTTTTCTAGTTGTACTGGGCAGTAAGCTGTCCATGTGAGCACCAGGGTGCTCTTGTTGCCGAAAAAGCCAATAGTGCACTGGGTGCTAATAACAGGCCTGCCACACAAAGAAAGTGATTATTTCACACTATTTGGCACTAATGAGGCCTCCTTTGGAGTACTGTGTCTGTTTTTGGGCACTGTGCTTTAAGAAGGATGTGGACAAATTAGAAAGACACCATCAGGAAGCAACAAAAAATATTAGACACCTAGAAAGTGTGGCTCACAAGAAAAGGTTGAAGGAACTGGAAACAATTTAGGTTGGAGAAGAGAAGACTGGAGAGGGGAACTTAATAACCATCTACAAATACCTGAAGGGTGTTTATGAGGACGGTGGTGATTGACCAGGGCTTTTCAGCCGATGGCCCACAGGCCACCGGTGGTTTGTAAGGGGTTAAGTGTCTAGGCTCCCCCTCCCTCCTCTGGCTGGGATTGAGGCAGTGCAGTGTACAGCATAGGAAGCTGAGCATGAGTCCAAGGCCATGTGGGGGGGTAGGGATCACACTCATGTAGTGCTACAGTGGGAGGTGCTTCCACAGGAATACATTCTATGACCAGGTCACACACTGCCTCTATGTGGGAGCTGAGGCTGATGTCATCTTCCTAGACTTTAGGAAGGCCTTCGACACAGTTTCGTATCCTATCCTCATTGGGAAGCTAGCAGACTGTGGAGTGGATGCCTGCATGGTCAGTGGGTGGCCAACTGGCTTAGGGACCGCACCCAGAGAGTGCTGGTGGATGGTTCCTTCTCGGCCTGGAGGGAGGTGGGCAGTGGGGTCCCGCAGGTTCGGTCCTTGGTCCGATATTATTCAATATCTTCATCAGTGATTTGGATGAGGGCATGGAGAGCACCCTCTCCAAGTTCGCTGATGATACCAAGTTACAGGCCAAAGTTAGTACACCGGAGGGCAGGGAGCAGATTCAGGCTGACCTGGACAGATTGGATCAATGGGCAGAGAGAAATAGGATGCAATTTAATAAAGATAAATGTAAGGTACTCCACCTGGGAAGGAGGAACCCCCAGCACACCTATAGGTTGGGGAGTGTCCTTCTCAGCAGCTCGGAGGCAGAGAGGGATCTTGGAGTCATAATTGACTCCAAGATGAACATGAGCTGGCAGTGTAACAGGGCCATCAACAAGGCCAATCGCACCTTGTCGTGCATTAGCAGGTGCATGACTAATAGAACAAAGGAGGTGATGCTCCCCCTCTATGCGGCACTGGTCAGGCCGCAGTTGGAGTACTGTGTCCAGTTTTGGGCACCGCACTTCAAGAGGGACGCAGGGAATCTTGAGAGGGTCCAGAGGAAGGCCACTCGCATGACTAGTGGCCTTCATGATAGACCCTACGGGGGGAGGTTGAGAGAGCTGAATCTCTTCAGCCTTCACAAGAGACGGCTGAGGGGAGATCTTGTGACCACCTATAAATTTATTAGGGGAGGCCAACGGGGAATAGGGGAAGCGCTGTTTACTAAGGCGCCCCAGGGAGTGACTAGGACTAACGGGTGTAAACTAGTTGAGAGGGGATTTAGGTTAGATATTAGGAAGAAATTTTTCACAGTAAGGGTGGCCAGGATCTGGAATGGGCTTCCAAGAGAGGTGGTGCTATCATCTAGCTTGGAGGTCTTCAAGAGGAGGCTAGATAGTCACCTGGCTGGGGTCATTTGACCTCGGTCCTCTTTCCTGCCAGGGGCAAGGGGTCGGACACGATGATCCATTGTGGTCCCTTCCGAATCTACACTCTGTGAATCTATGTTGTAGAAAGGAAACAACTGCATTCATGCACTCATACAGTGCAGTAGGGTGGAGGGACACCCTTGTGCAGCAGCAGAGGGAGGGGTGTTGATGTGGGTGCATGATGCAAGAGAAGTGTCCAAGCCACCCAGTGACCCTTGGCTCACTTGGTATGGTCCCCCTAGTGCAGCCTCAGGTCTGAGAAGTTGGACACACTTCTCAGACTATTCTCTGTGTCCACAGGAAGCAAGACTAGAAATAACGACTGTTAGCTGGCAGGAGGGAAATTTAGACTCTGTATGAGGAAGAACTTTCTGTCTATGTTAAGCGCAGAAAGACATTACCTGGAGAGGTTGCGGAATCTCCAGAATGTTTTAAGATCAGGTTAGATAAACATTTGGCTAAGACAGTCTTATCTTAAGTAGAGGGGTTATCCTGAAGTCCCTTCTAGTCCAACTTTCCTGTGCCTCTATGATTCTCAGTCAAGCCATGTATATTTCCATTTTTAAAAGGCACAAAACTATTTCCTCCTGAAAGTTATATTTTTATTTTAAAATGAAAATAACAAAGGCTCCCAGTCATTGTACTTGCTATACTCTCAACTGCTGCTGAACTGAAAATGAGAAATAGTTTTCTATGAGGAAGTGAATCTGCAGAAACAAAAACATATCCTAATTGGTAGAAGCCAGTAGGTTCTCTTTCGTAGTACACATTAGTACAGTCTAGTACAAATGAATTTTTGAATCCTCTTAAGCTATTTTTACTTTGCAATTAAGGAGAGACAATTACCAGAAACTCTTTTTGCTGCTACTGCTACCATTACTGCTACTGAAGTACAAGAGCCCTGAACTACTAAATGAAACACGCACCATGCTTTGAAAATGATCAGCCTGTGTTTAGTAGCTCTCCTTGCAGTTTCTTACAGAAGATTAGCTATTCTACTATCACTCACAAATGTTTACCCTAAGATCTACTGTATTTTCACACTTAGATTTCTCAGCAAAAGAGACAAGAATGAACATGATATTAAAGAAAAAAATCAAGAAATGTCTCTTATTACTTGGGAGTGATATGAAAGCATATAAAGAAATATGAAAAAAGGGAATACAAAGAACCAGATTGGTATATATTTTTATGGCTATCTGAATTTTAAAAATTATATGTATACTAGCTACCATGTTGTTATCCCTTTCTAATGAAGAGTGAATTTAAGAGCACTGCGTTTTCAACCCTATGAATTGTTTTTAAATAAGAACTATTCAGAACAATTATCTTTTAGAAGGTTTGTTCCCCTATTTTATCCTCAGCACTACAACTCCAACCACTGCATTCCCTTTCACTCTAAAGTGCTTCTTAGTACATGTGTTTCTTAGTATTCTGAGCTATTTTTCTATTCAATAAATATTTTAACTATCGTGTGTGAAAGAGAGAGTCTGGCAGTTTTTAAGAGTAATGAGTCTGAACACTGGGCAGCCAACTGCAGACCAAATGTGGCTCAGACAGTGGCACTGCAGGTTTTCCTTACTGTTCCATCACTGTTAAGCCCAGCCTGGAGAAAATGCGTCCAACTATTCATTATGACTAAGCAGCACAGTTCCCAAGACTACTAAAATATCCTTCAAGAGCAGCATACACACACATGAACACATGCATGCGCAGAGGCACATGGACACACACATAGACACACGCACACACACAAACACGTGCACACACAAGCTTATAAATTAGATTATTTAGCATCATTTTAGAGATACTGAATCAATATAGTCCTAATGCTGCATGTTAAATATTGAGTGAATGTATTTTCTTATATTAATGCACTATTATAAATACACTGCAGAACCCTGAAGTGAAAAACAATTTTAGCAAAATATTTTAACATGTTTAAAAGCTCTGAGCTATTTCAGTGACACATCTTGCGTGCCTTGCTTAAATGAGCAAGGTGGTCTGCTTTTCAGTCCTGATCTTGCTCTCTCTGAAGCAGGTTTTGCCATTGATTTCAGTGGGAGTAGGACCGATGACCTTTCCCTTTATTCCATATCAGAAAGGGGTCCGCTTGCTAGTGTGAGTTACAGTCCTTTCCCTAGCAAACTGCAATAGTTTACAACTTTTGAAAGCCAATCATATAGATGCAAGTATTCACACAATAAAAGAATAATAAGCAAAAATCCTTACCTTACATTTCTGCAACGCACCCTGATGCTTTCATAGCCGTCCTGTACAGAAGCTGCAGCAAGTGGGAAGCAGGCAAAGTCTTAGCTCTTCAATGGTGAGTGATCTCGTCGTGGACAAATGAACTCAAACAAAATGAATGATAAGCTTCCTTTTTCAGGCATTTACAAATGGGAGGAGTAGAGAGCACACTGATGCAGTAACGGAAATCTGATCTGTGTTGTATATGCCTCTGGGTCCTCCTCCCTCCGTCAGTTTATCTTTCTGTTTCAGATTAACTGTACCACTGCAGCATGACTGTCAAGAAAAGGGGATTTTAGAACTATATGAAAATGTTCTTATTTTATACTTGGTGGAGGGAAAACAGGAAGCCCAAACCCTTCTACTTTAAATACACAACCGGGTTAAATAGCAATGCCTAAGAAAATGTGTACTAACGGAGGTAACCCTTTGTTAAAGAGTACAGAGAAAGTCTTGACTCTGCTGTCTTAATAGAAAGTGGCATCACCATAACTGTAACAGTAGAAAAGAAATCACCTCCTGCTAAAGAGGCAGCACTGAAGGAGTCTCTGAATCATGGGAATTTCTACAATGGAGAACCACAACAGAGTGAAGGTTCGAATGGGGGCACATAGCAACACCCCACCAAAACTAATAATAATGATCTCATGTAACCAACCTCATTTTTCCATTTTCTGTTCTGTTTTCTTTTCTTTGTTCAAAGAGTCAATCTTTTTTCTTAGATCTATGATTATCTTATTCCTATGGCAACTTATTATATCTGTTCTGACACATCAATCCCAATTCATGAAAGTACCCATATTGAGAACAGCTCTACTGCATGTGCTAGACTAACATGGGCTCTAGGGTATGTCTGCATTGCAGACTGCACTGTAGACACCTGTTCTAGCTTTAAGCCAATTAATTCAGGTACTAAAAATTGGTTACTATATAATTGCATGAAACCTGAAGTGAACTAACTTACCCTATGGAGGAGCATACATTAGCCTGCATAGAGTCTTGGTGGTGATGTTAC